TGCACTAAAGAGGACATGCTGTGAAATTAAAATAAGAATAAATTTGAAAAAATCTAAGATGTCTTATTTCCTCCAAAGACAAATAACCTACAATTGAAGGACACTTTTTTCCTTGGGTCTCAGGAGGATATTATAGTATTATATATTTATATCTTAGATATTATACAAATGTGGGCAAATTTGTTGGTACCCTTACAGCTTATTGAAACAATGTTTAATTTCTCCTGAAAAGTGATTCATTTAAAAGCTAATGTATACCTGCATGCCTTTCATATGTGATAGAGTAAAGAGCTCAGAAAGAAGATGATAGATAACCATGCTAAAGGTAAAGGCTGTAAGACCATCTCCAAGCAGCTTCATGTTCCTGTGACCAAAGCTGCCAATATTATTAAAAAGTATAAGGTTCATGGGACTGAAGCCAACCTCCCAGGACATTGATGCAAGAGGAAATGCAAGCCCCGGTTGATCATAAGGATAGTGTGGACGGTAGAAAAAGAGCCAAGGAAACCACCCAAAACCATTCAAGCTGAGCTCCCAGGTCAAGGTATGTCACTTTCTGATTGCACCATCCGTTGCATTTTGAACAATAACGGGCTCCATGGAAGACGACCCAGGAGGGGTCACTACTGACAGAAAAACATAAAAAAGTAGAATTCGCCAAAATGCATGTTGACAAGCCCCAAAGTTTCTGAGATTATGTCCTTTGGACTGATGAGACAAAACTGGAGCTTTTTGGCCAGTCACACCAGCTCTATGTTTACAGAAGGAAAAATGAAGCTTTAAAAGAAAAGAACCCCATACCTACTGTGAGACATGGAGGGGCTCGTGTTTGTTTGGGGCTGCTTTGCTGCATCTGGCACTTTGAATCTGTGCAGGACACAATGAAGTCTCAAGACTACCAAGGCATCCTGGAGTGAATCATACTGCCCAGTGTCAGAAAGCTCAGCCTCAGTCGCAGGTCATGGGTCCTCCAACAGGATAATGACCCAAAACATACAGCTAAAAGCACTCAGGAATGGCTGAGAAAAAACATTGGACTATTCTAAAATGTCCCTCCATGAGCCCAGGTATTAATGTTATTGAACATCTATGGAAAGATCTGAAAATTGCAGTGTGGAGACGCCACCCTTCAAACCTGAGACAGCTTGCACAATTTGCTCAGGAAGAGGGGGCCAAACTACCTGTTGGCAAATGCAGACGTCTCATTGTGAAGTGCAGAGATCGCTTGTTGGCAGTGATTGGTGCAAAAGGTGGTGCCACAAAATATTTCATTAAGGGTACCATCTTTTTTGTCCGTGCCATTTTCATTTGTTTAATTGTATAAAATGTTCAACTGAATCAATAATCAAAAGTAAAGTCTGATTTGTGTTGGATATGGAATAAACAATAAGGGATGCTATTAAACTTTTGTTCAGTTTCAAGTTATTTCAGAGAGAGTTGTGGTTTTTCTTTTTTTGTGGAAGGTTATCAACAAATTTGTCCATGTCAGTATATAATAGTATAAAGATAATTCTATATTTTAATATTTTTTGTATTTTTAAAATTCACATCTTTTATATAGTAGCAACTACTATTCTTGCACCGAAAATCACTTTGATCCATACAGCTCTCCAAGGTATTGATCACTTGAACGGCATCCATAGACGCACTCTGTACCTCTGCAATCCTGAGTGCTATTCGATTATTGTGTGTGTTACTATGTGTGCTATTGTGTGTATTTGCTTATATTTGAGCTAATGGATGCCTACATTTCCTTCATGATCAATAAAACATCTATTTTTTTCTTGCTTGTGGTTTGCTGAATGTGTTCAGTGTTTTTTTTCCCTTGTGTTTAGTTTAGCTTCAATTACAGTTCTTGTTTCATCTACCCGCCTGTGTTCAGACCTCTTGTGGTCCCTTTCATGTTCTGTTTGTCCCTTTCGTTACCGAATTGCCCCGATACCTTGTGTCATGCGCTCCCCGTAACCCATGGGCAATTGAAAAGGCACTGGTTTCCAGTTTCTGCACACGATGTTAATGAATTTAAAATGAATTAAAAGTTCCATTTATTTATCCGAGGAAAAGCATGACAATGCATTGCTTCCAACAGCAGCACTGGGAAAGATTTAGCTGAAGTTAAAATATCTGCTGCCTTTTATGACATCTGCAATGTAGAATGACAGGTAACAAAATGGCACATTCCTGATGGTCAAGCATCTGAGGAAAATCGACACAAAATCACAACAAAACACACTGCCTCTCCACAGGCAGTGGGAACTGGGGAATGCAAAGCAGCCACCACAAATACCACATGCGGTCCCAACAAGAAACTGAGCAGCTGAATGTTTGGCGTGAGGCCGCTCTGCCCTCTTGGTATGAAGTAAAGGTCTCACAATCAGGAGCTCCCTCACTCCTTAATAAATACATTGCAGCCCCAGATCAGACTCTCCTGTAACACAGATCTTTAAAAGCAGCAGGAAAGGACTGCTATAAACAGATCTCATGCTGGGGCTTAATAAGGGAGAAGGGCTAGAAACGAACATTCAATTTAAAGTCAGTAATGTGTCAGGTGTCACAAACTGGCAGAAACATGCATGGTCACAATCATTTTACAGCATAGGGTTTTCTCCCAGAGTAAGTTGAGAGAGTCCAACCAGTCATCGAGTACAGGTTACGCCAAGTTGAGCCACACATGTAAATTTCCAATAGATAGATAGAAGAGCAAATAAATAAATAAATAAGCACACAACTACATAAAAAAAATAAACAAACAAATAAATAAATGGTAATATGACAAGTAAATGGTAACATGCATATGATGAACACAAGCTACATTTTCAAATAACTAATTACAATTTTATTGAACTTAATACAGGATCCTGTCCTGAAGAGGAATCTGGGCTGGCTGAGTGGGATATTCCGGATGCTATATTCGGGTGGAACCTCGGATAACAACGACACCATTAACAGTCACGGGTCCGTGGGAAACCCTCAGGGATTCATATATGGAAGGTGGTATGAAGCCTTAAGCTCAGCATAGGTGTGAAGGCGGATAGAAGCATGACAGGACAAGACATCATGTTGTACATCACACCCATTAACAAATCCAGAGTAAGGCAGCCTTCCACTGAGCCATGCAGGAAAGTTGTGTGGTCTAAGTCAGGGCTGTTCAAATTAACAAACATGACACAGGTAAAACAGGCCCTTCAGCAGCATCTCAGTATTACAGTACTGAGTATTACAGTATTACATCTCTGTTGAAGCTAAGCTCTGCAAGTTCATCTCCAGGAGCAGGAATGAATAACACTGGGCTAAGTGAATCTTGCCTTGATTTGAATGAAAATGATGCATCTATCCAGTATTTCAATATGTAACTTAGCTTAGCAGTTTATTTGGGTGTTATTTTTCCACTTTCAAACATGCACAAATGTCACTTACATTCTTCGCCGTGACAATTCAATAGTCACACCCAGCACATTGTACTCCGTGGAAGCGCGGCTGCCCGAAGCGGCGCTCCCGGCTCGCAATACTTATACAACTTCGGTCACGTGACTCGTTGTACAGTTTCATAAATAAGAAGAGGAGATGATCGTCTTCATTCGCATTTTTGCTCCATAGGCCCGACTGATCAGGATCGGCAGGGTATACGCCTGCAAACTATGGCTTTTCAATGAATTGGCGATAGTAATGTCTCTGAATGAAAAACTGCAAAACTTTTTTTTGTTAAAAAGTAATTAAATAAATATTGAGCAGTGATGCTAGTGTCGATAGCATGGGTGCCCGCTGCATTGGCTGGGCTCATTGCGATCCATTTTGCCCAGAAGCGGTGCTTCCCTTACTTCTGGAAGGACGTCTTCTACTTATGGAAAGTAATCCAGTACGGCGTGAGGCTGGAGCTGTACAAGAAGAGGCGCAGGGTCTTCACCGTGCTGGACCGATTCGTGCAGCGGGCTGAGCAGATTCCCCGCAAGCCGTTTGTCATTTATGATGGGGTCCCGTACACTTATCGAGACGTGGACGAGAGGAGCAATAAAGTCGCTCATGTCTTTGAGGAGCACGGGGCAGCGAAGAAGGGCGACACTGTAGCGCTGCTCATGAACAACGAACCCGACTTCATCAGCGTCTGGTTCGGACTCAGCAAGCTGGGCTGCGCCGTGGCTTTCCTCAACACCAACATCAAGGGCAAATCGCTTCTGCACTGTTTCAGCTGCTGCGGAGCCAAAGTCCTCGTCGTCGGTGCAGGTAAATATGTCACGATTACCGCTAATAAACTGGTTGATTACTAATTATTTAGCTCCATAGTTAACGCACTTCATCAATTTCCAAGTTCATATTCAGTAGCTCAGAATGACAATGCTCAGACAATACATTGTTAAAATTTATTACTTTTTAATCAGGCAACGAAACACAAGTTTATGAAGAAATGTTCCAAATGTAAACTTAATTTGATTTTTAAAGTCATAAAAACATCCTATTTCACGTAAGGAAAGGGCCGGTAGTCTGACAGGACCCGCCCACATATCCTACTGTACGTTGTACAGCCTGGTATGCGGCTTGAAACAGTAAACAACCGTAGTACAGATCAGGGCCGATTCATTCTGAATTTTATTGCAAGTTTTAGTTAAATGTATTTTAACACTACAGCTATGAAAGGAACTTTTAGCTACTTTTAGTACTTCAAATGTAATTTCATAATTAGTGATTTTCAATTACGGAGTTCAAATTGAATGATAATCAATCCTCCCTGGAATAGCAACCTTATGCCTATATTCAAGGACACGAAAGAAAATAAATACGGCTTTCAGGATAAAATACTATGAAATCTTGGAAAAGTGTCGATTGTAATTTTACTAGTTTTATATTTTGCGAGTTTTTACTATTTTGGTTAGGCCTATATTTTGGAATTTGTTCCACATATCTTTAGCTATTTGTCAGCAGGGATTCACATTGCTAGTCCCGGAGATATTCACGTTTCTCTGAATTGGCCTTAGGATAACTTCGGCTCAGTCCTGTGATTATAGCGATCAAAATGAGCTGCTGAAGTAAACAGTATAAGCTTTAAAATGACACTGCACAGTAATTTTACAGCAACAGGGTAGCTGGTAATGGCTACTGGAACAAGATACTATATCGGTGATCAATTCCATATGACCCTTAATTTATTCTTTAAATTTTCAAGAATTTTCTGAAATTGTTATCACGCCTAGGGGAAATACTGAAATAGGGAAACAAGTCACATGTTGGTGCTGCAGAATTTGGCTTTCCTCGAAGAAACACCTTCGCTTGGAGAAAAAACACTTAAGTTTAAGGTGTGGAGGCTTCACAGTATGATCAAAATGAATTGCAGATTAATTATTGTTATTGTTCAAACAGTGACGGTTGTGGAGCTTGAATGTACACAGAGCTAACTGCTACAGTTTGAGCTTTCAAACAGAATGAAGGGGCGGCAGTGGTCAGGGGTCACGTGCAGAGTACAGGAGTACATTTAAAAGTGGATTTAACTTTTATGGCAAAGTTAAAGAGCACTGTCCACAGATTAACTGAAAGTTAAACAAATTTGAAATGTTTAAACTGCACTGCAGTGTTCATATAAAACTTTATTTGTTTGTCTAGTGCTGTTATTTATTACTGTTTTGCATTTTAACCCATCAGCAAGACAAAAACACAAACAAAACAAAGAACAACCTCAGCTGCACACTCACGCTGTGGGCGATTTAGAAACACCCCAAACCCTCGTGTCTTTGTGGAAGGAAAGTAGGGTACCCAGAGGAGACCCATGCTAGGATGTGAGGAACATGTGAGGAACATGTGAGGAACATGCAAACTCCACACGCAAGGCCAGGGGTGTGAACCAAACCCTCGGCCTTGGAGATCTCAGGCCACAGTGCTAATCCTAAAACCATGTTTTAGCTGGGGCCCTGTGCCTGAGCTATCTGTTGCCGTGAGGCATCCATTTCCTTTTGTTATGTGTGTTACCCGTCAGACTTGCTGGACATGTTGGAGGACATTCTGCCCAACCTTCTGGAGCACAACATCAGCATTTGGGCTATGAATGCAGAGAGCTGCCTACCCGGGGTGCAGACCCTGCTGGACAAGGTGGAGCGGGCCCCTGCCCGGCCTGTCCCAGCGGAACGCAGGGCGGTCACCTCCCTCAAGACCCCCACTCTCTACATCTACACATCGGGGACCACCGGTACTCTCCTTATCTGCTGACACAGTAGCTGGTAGCTTAGTGATGAAGTTTTGAGGGTACATATGCTAGAAAGGTGCTGGTTTGTGTATCTCTGAGGCAGGTTTCTACCTAGATTGCAAAAAATTAAGTAATATATTAAATAATATATAGTAAGTAATATATTAGTTTTAAGATAAGCAAATTGGATGCTTCTTTGTTGTTGGTGAAATTTTATCCTGTATAATACTGTTGTATCATATACACTATTATAATTGCTGAAATACCCTTGGAAGTATAAAAAAACATTTTTTAATGAATGTGGAAGGCAGAACGTCTTTTAGGAGATTTACGGTTGCCAAGACGCCGTATTTAGACAAACACAATGATTCCTCTATTCAGAAACAGCAGGCCAGGATGCTGAAAGCCGACAAAACGGCACAGCCTTTATCCTCAGATGTAAATCAATCAGCACAATACAGAGAAATAAAATGAGGGTTTTATCTGGTTTGACATTCTTCTTTTCAGCATTGTAATGATTTTCCATTGCATTTTAACTTTGTCATGTACTTCATCACTAATTTTTGGGTGTTGTTATGAAATGATTGATATATTCAACTAAAGGTGGGCGATATGACCTAAAATTATTATCATGGTATTTTTCACTTTTTGGATGGTGATTTTTTTCCCAGGTTTTGGGAGGAGTAGCATGTCCTGTTCCTTTATGTAAATACAAATATTTTGATAATATACTAAGTACATGCAATCTACCATTTTCAGTTGAGAGACTTATGAGAGTGTCAACAGCATTTATTCTACAAAAAGCATGAAGATCTTGATATTAACCTTTATGTGCTACAACAAAACTAAATTACCAATTCTGCTGTTCCATAAGAAGAACACTGTTGTGGTTACATGGTAGCTGTGAGCCAAATTGCATCAGGGAGCACAAACACGCAGAAATGAAAGCATCAAGGCACGCAGCTACTAAAACGTACTATGAAAATATTTAAATGTCATGTCAGGCAGAGTAACTTATGCGAATAAGGAGCGGGAGTTAAAAATACATCAGCTGTTGTTCTTTATATTCACGGACATGCGTGTTTTTTAAGTGATGGAATAGGTCGCTTATGTTTCCACCGTTTGCCATCACGGCAAAGCTTGCATAATACTGAAGTTTGCTCAGTGGTGGATGATTTATGGTTTCGGACCAGATAACAGAGGTGCCCCCCCTTTTTTGGAATGAGAGTCTCCTCCCCTGTCGACACCTCGGCCGGTTCTGACATTTCACTCGTCTTTTTTTATTCCTCTTTCCCAGCCTCTCTTACCTTTATTAGCCTGTACCTAACTTAGGTAGCACGGCGTCACCACGTGTTCTCGGGGCAGTTCTGCCTTATATCGCGTACCTTGCATGAAGACAGCGACGTATATATATGCTGATTTAGCGAATATGTGTCACTTTTTAATTTGATACTATATATATGTAACCGGGTTATTTTTGTTTAATGTGTATAATTACGCAAAATCTGTTTATTTTGAATTTGTTAATTTGCTATCAGGACATCAGACTGTGTTTAACAGAAAATTCACACAACGCAGATAAGCTGGTTATATATGCTATATAAAGACAAGTATTCAGACTACAGCTTTATTGCTTTATTGTTTATTAATAGGCTGTTATATATAATTAGGCTGTTGATTTCTGGCGGTGTTAATCCATGTCGTGGGGCTGAATCACACCGGTATTGCCCACCTGTATATTCAGCTAAGAATTCTTTTTCCATTTTTGGCATTGTGGCAAGATTGTTGATGCAGAGGAGCTTGTTTGGAAAATTCAGTTCTAATTAAGAATACTCTTCTGTGCAATAACTGGTGTTTTTATATTAGTCAACTCTTTGAATATTATTGAAAGTCCCTGGTAGCCTGTGGTTTTTGGAAGCAGAGGTTTTGTAGTGCAGTTTTACTTTGTGTAGAACATTTCACTTCGCCCAGCCTCACCGACACGCCTGTTCCACTCCACCCTGTCCTTAGGCCTACCCAAAGCGGCCGTGGTCACGCACATGCAGTCCACGAAGGCGGCCGCGGGCTTCTGGGCATACGGCGGTCATGCAGATGACATCATCTACATCCCACTCCCCCTATACCACAGCGCCGCTTCACTCATTGGCGTCGGGGGGACCATCGAGATGGGTAGGACGCATCAGACACTTCTCCAGTCATATGCTAATGAATCTAGAGAGTACAGTCGTGTGATACATATGGATAGGTGCTGTGGATGAGTTGGTGGAGGTCAAGTTAAGGTTGAATATGGCTTTAAAAATACTGTATTTGAGGCATAATCCTTAATGTAGGGTTCTATAGTGGTGAAATGGTTAGCATCGTCGCACACCTCTGGAGACCAGGGTTCAAGTCTCCACCATGGCTCCAAGTGTGTGGAATTTGCATGTTCTCCCCATGACTTTGTGAGGTTCCTGTCAGGTTCTCCAGTTTCCCCCCTGGTAAGGCTAATTGGAGTTACCAAAATTGTCTAGTGTGAAGGGATGTATGTACCTTGTGATGGGCTGGTGCCCCACCCTGGGTTATTTCAGACTCCAGACCCCCGTGACTCTGCATTAGTTCAGGGTAACATGGTAGTTCGGTGAAATGGCATTAATTCCTCACACCTCCAGGTTTAGGGGTTTAAATCCTGTCTGTACTCTGTGTGTGTCTGTTTTTCTCATGTTCTTTAAAGTTTCCACTTGCAGTCCAAAGACATGCGGTTAGCTGAAGTTCTGCCTGTAAATTGACCTTGTGGTGGATAAGCTGTTGGAAGATGGATCATTAGTAGGACGTTCAGCTGTCATCTGCATATGAAACTGCCAGTGAAGGCATCTCAGACCCTGTTCCTTATCTTCTCTGTTTTAATAACACAGGGGCGACCTGTGTTCTGAAGAAGAAGTTCTCAGCCTCACAGTTCTGGAATGACTGTCGAAAGTACAACGTGACCATCATCCAGTACATCGGAGAGCTCTGCCGGTACCTCTGCAGTCAGCCCAAGGTCATTCATCATTCATTCATTTTAAGTTTCTCAATTTTAAGCTTACCTGTGGTTCTGTGGGGATTCCTGGGTGAACTGGAAATAATGACGAGCTCATAGTTTTAATAAAATACTGTTAATTGCTAACATTGTGGTAAAAAGTGAGGGGCAATATGTGATTAGAAGCTATGACCTTTAGGCTTGGTTTCTCAGCTAGTTATGACTTACGTGCCTACAAACAAACCCGCAAAATATCCAAGAATTTATGTAATTGTAGATTTCAAGTTCTAAAATAACGTCTATGACCTGAATTACACTTTGTACACTTTATACTATGTGTTCTTTTATAATGAAATGGACTCCCATTTTAGGTGTCCCTTGCAATTAAATTTCTAGTACAGGCTGTAGGCTTATTGTGATATTACACTGGATACTTTGGTGGATGAATGGATGGATGGTATACTCTCAGCAAAAGATGGTTTAGATTATTATGATTTCTGTATTGCTCAGTAGGTCTTAAGGATAGTACTTTCTACATACACAGAGGGGTTGTGCCCATGGTTGCAATAATAGTTGGACCTTTACTCAGGAAACATGTTTTTTGCCAGGATTTCATAGTTGAACTGGGAGAAACACTTCAGTTTTTTAAGATGCACTTATCAGGCTGGACCCATTTCCAAATGAAGGACATTCTTTGGCCACTGCTGAACAAGCAGTTTGTCAAAGCTCTCTTTGTCCATTTTATCCATACATGATGGCGTAGGATGGGAGATGCTAGCCTTCAGTGCACATTAGGTCAAAGAGAACATTCACACACTTACACTCAGCTGTGCGTTATTCTTTGGTCGCAGTGATTGCACTAATCGATGGATCATATGGAATTTTCTGCCACTGGCTCTGTGTCGAGGAACCAATGCATGAGGAGGTGTTTCTCAATACTAAGAAGGCATAGATCATATTTGTGGTCTCGGCATGATCGGTCTTGCTAACTTGCCTTTCAAGAAAGAACTTGGGTCGCAGTGAATCATGGGATCAGTCTTTTTTGGCGAGGATGCAACCAGTATGTCCTTGATATTTGGGGCGGGGCAAGAATGATATCCGAGAATTTTTATTTTCCTCTGCACTTGTACTCTTTAGTACTGGAACTGGTCTTCGGCCATGGAAGATGATGTAAAACAGGTACACGAGAACACAAGTGTGGCTAAATATGCATGTTGAGAAACAGCCATGGTTTATGAGGGCTGCTGCCTTCTGATGGACTGGAATCCTGTCCCCTGCCGTACACCCCGTGCTTTTTCATGGATAGACTCCATACTGACCATGTAATGAACAAATTATGGAAAATGGATGGATCATGATAACAATGACAATTAATATGATCACACTCTGAGCATTTAGAAGATGGGCGGAAGAAATTTTATTTAATATCAAATTAGCCAAGATGATCTGGGTGAATATAAATCAATGAACTCCTACAATGATCTTTGCCAGTGAAAACCAATCAGAATAGCCAGTATATTTGCATTTCACAAAGTAAACCCTCCCCCCTCCCCCTTCAGGCCCCCACCATGGCACAGACCACCCTATTGGCCGGCCGGGGTGGTGCGACACTATCAATGATGCATACAAATGACACATAAGAATAGGGGACGATCTGCATAAACAGGGCATGAGGCACACAGCTTCATTGTGGATCTCCAGCATATCCGGGCCTTGTTTCCTCCACCCCCTAGCAGGATTGCAGTGAGGCAAACACAAGAACGTGGCCAACCAACTATCATCTAGGCGTGCAAAGAAAGAAGAGCCTGTATACACAGGTTTTTCTTGTGAAACTACTAACGCCTCCCTTGTGCTAAAGTAGTTCATGGCAATAGGCCTTAGGAATAGAAATTGGGTCCCAGATGTACATTAATTAAGAGTGAAAGAAGTTGGACGGGCAACACCATCTTCTCTAGGCGTGTTTGATATTGTCCAGTTATGAGAAGAGACTTTGTAGCATTCTGTGTCCTCTGTGACTTTCTTGAGAATAGAATGGAATGGAATAGAATAGAATTGAATTGAAGAACTTTGTAATCATCATCATTGTACAGGTAGCAAGTGCAATGATATTCAATATGATAAGTGAAATGAGGTTAGGCATAAATAAAAACATGAATTTATAGGTAAATAACTATCTAAAACATTAAATATAAAGTAGTTTGCCTACTATCATTCAGTATGGCTAAAACCATGTTCCACAACAGATATATACGACAGCTGTATAATACCAGTGATGGTAGTGCACTTCAAGACTACCACTAATATACAATAGTAGTCATATAATAATAATAATAATAATAATATGGTAATGGCTATAATAGTAATAGTGATGATAAAAGAGCATGATGATATTTACATTAACAGAGTTTATCAGGTTGGTAATGACTCTGGAAAGAAGCTGTTCCTCAGTCTAGACTTGCAGGTATAAATAGTGCAAAGAGATGATTGGCAGGACTGCGATGGTCCTTGTGATGTGATTGGCCTTGCACCGGCAGCAGTAGTCCCTCAGGGTAGGGAGTTGGGTTTCCTGTAATTTGGTTGAGGTTGCCGTCAACGGAGCAGCATTAGAAGGTTATCGGCAGCTGGTGCTGACATTCGTAAGTGTTTCAAGGAAGGACAGCTGCTGCTGTGGCCTCTTCACCCATGATGGTGAAGCTGGCCTCCCATGAGAGGTCATCTTAGTTGTTGAAACCTGGAGACCCTCTACACCAAGTCTCTGTTGATGTAGACTGGAGCAAGTTCATTGCTATATTTCCTGGAACTGATCATGAGCTCCTTGGTTATAATGGGCCTGAGTGTCAGAATGTTTTCGGAGCACTATCTTGATAAGCTCTGGACATCCTTTGTGTAAGCCAACACATCACCGTCAGAGATCGGCCCATTCATGGTTATGTCATCCACACTCTTAAGGATGGTGTTTGTGGTGTAGGTGAGCGTGCAGTTATAAGTGGAGTGGGCTGAGAACAGTTTTGGGGTATATTAGTGTTAATTATCAAGGTCGACAGTAGATGGCATCCTATACGCTAACTCTTTGAGGGCAGTTAGTATGGAAATCAAGAATTCAGCTGGGAAGGGGGCTGGCAGAGACTCAGGTCAAGTAATTTTTCAGACCGTTCCTTTCGGAATGGCCATGTTGAAAGTAGAGCTGTAATTCATGAATAGCATCCTCAGCAATGTCCCCTGGTGTTTAAGGTGGGGTGGAGCAGTGTGAAGGGCAGTGGAGATGGCGTCCTCCATAAATATGCCCAGTAGGTAGGGCTGGGCGATATGATCTCAAATCAATATCACGATTAATTGAACATTTTACCTTGATTGTGATTAATGAACGATTCGGTTTTTTTTTTTCCGCTCATAGTTCACTGACAAGGTTTGTACTGCAAGTATGCTCAACTATTAAAAACTGTGATTTTTTCCTAATGAAAGAGTGTATATCTTATCCTTATGATTTTAATCGAAGGAAATGAACGCAGATGAACTGTTTATGGTTATTTTTCGAATATTTGGAACAACTCAAAGCACACAGCTTGAAATGAAAACATCTTATGAAAAAGGTCACATTTCAGTTTTAATGTAAAAAGCAAGTTCTTTAAAAATGTAAAAATATAGTTAGAATTTCTTACAAATAAAATAAATTATTTTAAATATTGGTAGTGCTGACACCGATTGGTGGTATTACCTTTGGTAGCTGAAACTGAACACACACTGGGGAAAGTACTACCAGAATTAATAATAATAATAATAATAATAATAATATTGGTAGGCATATTGGTGTTGCTCTTGAGTTGCTATGATGTGTGTTAGACATTCTCTCAAAGAATTTCATAATGATGGAGGTGAGGACAATTGGGCATTAATCATTCAGGTTACTGCTGGCTGTACAATCAGCCAATTTGTACAATCAGTCACACAACAGCTATTTCCCATTTTAAACGTGTTTTTTGCAGCATTCAGCTGAATGCTGCCTCACTCTATTTGCCACTCAGTGGTTATGAGCTTCTGCCGGCTGTGACGTCATTTGCATACCCTTTGCAGTACGAGTTGCATAAGAACATCGCCTAAGAGGGTGATGATCTGGATCTTATAACAGCAACTAATAGCACTGTGATTTGTAATCTTTGTAAAAATAAATTTTTGAGAGGTGGGAGTAGCGTTTAGTGGAAAATCCCACTAAACAAAGCGCACACAATTATGCAAGACAACGCGAGTAATATGAAAAATGCGATCTCTGATTTGGGAGTCGCTACCTTGGGCTGTTTGTCCACTCGCTGGAGCTTGTGATACAGGAGGGGCTGCTATCGCAACGAAGTGTAACTGATGCTCTTGGCAGTGAGAAGAAAATTGTGGGGCATTTTAAGCATTCGCCACTTGCATATCCTCGCTTGCAAGAACTGTTTATATTATTAGAACTCAAAGTGTTTAAAACAAGTGTAGAAATGGGGTGGACAGTACGCTATGTATGTTTCCAATAGCCTGAAAAATATGAATATATAAATTATAAATATACACAGTATTTATTATATGAAAATATTAAAGTAAGAAGAGCTCTTGTATTGGAATCTGTATCAGTTTCGGCTGTTGTGTATCTGAATCGGATCGGAACTGAAAAAATGTGGATCGGCCCATCCTTGGTACAATGATGGCTAGATGGAACTAGTGATAGAGAAAGAGTGATGATGTTAGTGGATACTAGTGGATACCTGCATTAGCTGATTAGCACAGTCCATCTAGGCCTGCTGTCTATCATGCATTCACAGCATGCAGCATGGATCTAGCATTGTGCATGCATATGAATGCTAAATTGTTTGCTGTTGGTGGGGCTTATATTGCATTGTTTACTGTGTTACTGTTACTTTTGTTGAAGCTGGCTAAGCTATTTATGTCCTTTGCTAGAAGGGCGCCATTACTTGGGGATAGTCATTTCTGCTTTTGAAACCAGTGATGTGCTGGATGCCTTGCCAGTTGACCAATGCCTTGGATCGTCACTCTTGATCCGTGGCTTGTAGGCAATCTTGACACATCCGACTCTCCAGAACTGAATGCTGCAGATATTGAACCCGATGAGTCATCTGTCACAATACCATTATGGCAAGGAAGTTAGTCAAGAACAGAGATGAGACTACTGGGGTTTAATCAAGGGAACAATAACAAGGCTAGAACACAGAAAAGCAAGACTAAGGGACTGCAACTCGAATATAAACGAAGGCCAAAGACAAGACAACAAAAGCAAACAGTGGAGGCAAAGACAGAGGACACAACAGGGTGGGTAAAGTGACAAGCAGAGAATACTCAGGACTGCACAAGAATTGTAGGTTAAATAGAGTGTAATTAGCCCCTCATTACTGCCAGCTGTGACAGGTAAGCACTGAGGTCCAAAGCCATGACAACAGGGAATGTGGGCAGAATCTGCATAGAGGCATTCACCCTAGCCAGGAGCCATGGCAACAGGGAAGGTGGGCTGAGCCATGACAATTACATTTACAGTATCTGACAATTTCATTGAAAGCGACTTACAGTCGAGGGAGTGGTTACAAGTATGTGTGCTGCCTAGGATTCAAACCCACATCTCTTGCATTGTTAGCACAGTGCTTTACTTGTTGAGCTACAGCAGCTTATAAGTCAGGGTTTCTGCATATTCAACCAAAGTTGTCCTTGTTGTGTCCTGATGCCGCAATTCCATGTGCTCTCTCGCTCTTAAAGTCAGAGTTGGACTGGCAGCACAAAGTGCACATGGCTGTGGGGAACGGCCTGCGCCAGGACGTGTGGCAGGAGTTTCACCGGCGCTTCGGCGAGATTCGCATGTGCGAACTGTATGGCTCCACCGAGGGCAACCTCTGCTTCATGAACCACGTGGGCAAGATCGGCGCTGTGGGACGGTCCAACTTCTTCTACAAGGTGAGTTCCCACCTGTTGCCGGTCAATTGGTTCTGGCCGCAAGATCCGTCTTGTTACAGCTTTGGGCTGGGGGATGATAAAAAGACAACTGCATCTACAAATGGGACAAGAGATATCTGGGTTTGTGCTCTGCACTGTTTGGGCTGAAGCCAAACTGTTTATATTATTAGAATTTAGCTACTGATGAATGAAGAGGCTCAGCACTTCACCCCACACTGGGACATCTTCTAAATTAAAGGGGATTGTTTTGCATATAGTAATAGATTTTTTAAATAGATGACACTAGCAAGTAACAGGAAATTGATTTTGTTTTTTTGAAAATAGTGTTGTTGAGTCTGTTATTAGTGGACGTCGGTCACATGACGTCAGCTGAAAAACTGCTAAATTGAATTAGATTCCTGTGAGACATATCTTCACAGTTTCCCTTGTATGGAAGAAGTTTTGCGGCTATCGGTGGAGGTTAATGGTTAGCTTTGCACGTTCGCTTGGCCCATGCCGTGCTCGCACTGTGAATGCCTTGTGTATGTGAGAAGCCGCGGTAATGGCCAGGGACCATGAGCACTGTGTTCCCACGGTTCAAATTGAAAGAATATCTTGTCCAGAATTATTACAGTTTGGGAGGTGTGCAGCTAAGAAAAGTAACATAGAACGGTAACAAACATAAATCTGTGAATTGTTCTGTGCTTAAGTCTTTAGGTCTTAAGACATTTTTAAACAGCAAAAGGTAAAGGTTGCCGGACCGTGCACGGACATAAAATGCACATTTTTATCTTCCATGTCGGAAAAAATGTGGAAAACGGTTATAGTTTTTTTTTTACGTATTCCTCGGTTTTGCTGCCTTGACAAAAATAATATTTTGCATCCTAATATTTATTACCATTGGCTTGCTTAGCATAATTATAGAGAAAAGTTTAAACGTGGAGGCCTGCACTGCTGTACTGTCCTGCCATGTACTGGGACCGTGGGCATCCTGAGGCACATGTGTGCAACACTATACTGGGCCACAGCACTATACTGGGCCACAGCACTATACTGGGCCACAGCACTATACTGGGCCACAGCACTATACTGGGCCACAGCACTATACTGGGCCACAACACTATACTGGGCCACAGCACTATACTGGGCCACAACACTGCTGACTTTGTATTTGTGTTTATATAGGATTAATTTCCATTTGCAGCATGATGGCAAAGGAGAGCAAGGCAGGGACTATTTTGGGTGACCCAGCATATATACTCTCTCTGCAACACAAAATACTTAGGCAGTATGCATATATCTATAAGCATTAATGACAATAACTACATGTATATATCTATTTAAACACTTATATTTAAAGAAGGTATTTAGCTCATAAAGTTTTTGTAAATGTATATGTTTGTGTGTGTGTGTGTTTTAAACATGAGGATATCTTAGATATTGTGCCCTGTAACTATTTTCATAAATATATTGTGTACTATAACTTATGTTAAGCTTATCAATGTGGCCATAACTTTAGTGATGGCTCTGTAATCACAGAGGAAGGGGTTTTATTGCATAGGATGTTGTTTTTGGCAGAGCAGGTAGGGGTGCCGGTGGAGTCGTTGGCTGTCAGCCTTCCAGCACCCAGTCCTTCCTTTAATTCCTGTTCCATTTCATGTGGGAATTACAGTAATAACATTTTATGCCATTTCTGTCACTTGTTGCATTCTTTATTTGCAACATATATATGGTAATCACCGTTTTACACTATATTCATTTAATGGATTCTACATGCAATGACTCATATGGACATAACAGAGCAGAATATGTCTTATTGCAGATTAAAGTCACTACTTGTTAACCAAAGTGTAGCCCATGCAATCATCTCTCTTTCCCTTACTGGTCTTCCCTTGTAAGGATAACATTCACACCAACTCATTAGCAGTGAACATTAGTGCATGCATCCCTCCCACACACTGTTAGCTAATTCCTCCTTGCCTATCCATTGGCTTCTATGTAGCGCACCTGGAGAGTGGCGTTCGTGCAATTCCATCTGCAGTCTTACAGGTGTCCAGGTGGTGTCACTGTAAAGTAGTAAGAAACAGGGAGCCCACACCATGGAATATGGGTCCCCTCTCCTGGGTCTCCTGCTCATGAACTGCTAATAAGAGTCCCTTCAAACGTGTGGCTCTTGCTGTCCAATATATTATGTTTCAGACAGAAAAACCTAGTGGAAAAACTAGGCCACAGTCTCTCTTGAGCCATCACAGAAGTGCACAAATCCAAGAAAATACAGGAGGTGACTTCATCAGAATTTCTAGCAGCAGTCAGTGTACTCTGTCTAATCACCGCGCTCCAATATTACAGTTGGAAGGATTTACAAGGGATAATCTCTTTCTCTTTAACCACTTTCTTATCATAAACACAGTTCCCTTGTTTGTGTTGTTAGACCCAGGAAGAGATTTAAAGAGCCCAGAGTTCTGTTTAAAAATATTCATCATTTTTAGCAACAGGATGCTAAAACTTTAGTACTTGTACTTTCTGCACGTGGCCATGCTAGTTTCACAGGCGCTAATTAGCAGTTTTGTGTTAGCTGAAGTAGTACCATGTCAGCTGAGGCCAAGAACTTACTAATAAACTCAGTAACAGTTGAGTTATTCATCAGCACAGAATACTCTTCAGCTACAGGAAATCTTTTATACATTTTTGGTATTGTTTTTACTGCCTGTCGCCTTATTGTTGGCATTAACATTATTATGGCAGATCTTTCCTGTCTTTAAGTCATTGGCACTTTGACATGAGCACACTGAAAGGAATGAAAAATGGCACTTTGTATTTGATTAGGAACAGAGAAAGACGCTTTGCGAAGCTTCACTTAAGAAGAATGGAATATCACAGAAGGTTCCAGAATCATTACGCACCATTTTTGGCTTTTTTGGTGTGGGAAACCAAGCTGAGTTGTTTTGTTTTTAACAATATATATTTTTTTGGAAGGAAAAAATATATTTAGCAAGGCAAGGAAGTAGTGTGAAATACTGCATTCAAAGTTGCATCCAGTTGTAAATAAAATCTCTGAAAAAAATTTGTTTTACTTATATAAAGATGGAGATAGAATTGAAACTAGGAACACTTTACTTAAGGCCACATTTTTAGTAATTTATATACAGACGCTCCTCTACTTACGAACCTGCAACTTACGAACCTTCAAACATACGAACGAAGAGGACTGTAACTCCAAATTGTGTTCGTTAGGCTCCCATTTCCTGTCTGCAATTTTTTTTTTCTGCGCGCCAATTCCTCCTAGTACGACTTCTGGCCGCTACTCCCGCCGCGCAGCAGCGTAGCGTGCGTACTCCCAGCATCCTAGTTCTTTGTATTTGCGTATACCCTTAAAATGACGTTGAATAACGACTTACAAACATTTCAAGTTACGAACAGCCGTTCAGAACGTATCTCGTTCGTAAGTAGAGGAGCGCCTGTATTTCTTACAAATAACAAGGCTTTCATAAAGCATTACAAAAATGGCTGTGATTATTTATCAAAAGGCATAACACATTATAGTCATGTGTATCATGCATTATTAATGCTTTATGAAGCTCTCATCTATAACTCACTACAGACGCATAGAATATTTAGGCAGTCATAATGCATAATAAACATAGCTATAATGTGTTATGCCCTTTTATAAATATTTATAGCTATGTTTATAATGCTTTATGAATCCATTATAATGCATTATAAATTTGTTTATAAATTATTAAAAACATGGCCTTAAGTGAAGTGTTACCTTGAAAATTTATCTATAAATAAAAGAAATTGTATTTTTGTAGTGATACTTGCAGGTTTTAGTACTGCCTATATTTAGAGGCAACTCCCTAATTATAATTAAAATAATTTCATACATATAAGAGTTTCACAGTGGGTATCAATAATGCCTTATGACATTATAATGATATTTCTGCTCTGTGTTTATAAACTGCTGTTCTTGTCATCTGTCAACTGTATGGACCGAGAACAACAACCTTGGGAAGAGCCTGTTTATAAATTTGTATGAACTAACTGGTCATTTTTCTCCTTTTCACCCATTGTAGCTTTTTTTTAAATACGTCCTTGTGAAGTACGACAAAGTCAGAGATGAACCTGTACGCAATAAGCATGGATTCTGCATACCTGTAGCAAAAGGTGAGAAGATAGTAACTTCTGTGTTGATAGTAATACAATGAAAACATTAGGTTTTGGAAAAGGAATAAAGCATTTATAATTTTATGGCCAACAGGGGGCCCCCAAACCTCAGGGGGGTGGGGGGGGGGCAGCACGCAAATGCATGGTTTAAGTGGTAAACAATGTCACTGGGTTCTTGTTTAGTCTTACCAATACATACCTGGGTGCACAGTAATGTGCAAAGGTTTTACATGTTTGCTTTTTTGGTAAACATGACTGCTTTCTGCACACCTCTGCATTCCTCTGACCTCTATCCACTTTTCGTCAACCTCCCTCACCAGGTGAAACTGGTCTGCTCCTGTCCAAGGTCAACGCACAGACCCCGTTCTTCGGCTATGCCGGGAGTAAGCAGCTGACAGAGAGGAAGCTGCTGCGGGACGTGTTCGCCAAAGGGGACATGTATTTCAACACAGGCGACCTGATGGCCGAAGATAAGGAGGACTTCATCTACTTCAAGGACAGGATTGGCGACACCTTCAGGTACATCACGGAATTGCAGCAATCTCCATCTCCGTGTTGATCATATCCTTGATAAAATGCACAGAACAAGTTCTGGAAATTTCTGTCATGAGCGCGCCCATGAAAGAGTGCATTTATGTCAGGTGGAAGGGGGAGAATGTGGCCACAACGGAAGTGACTGAAATCCTCGGACTTCTGGACTTCATCCAGGAGGCCAATGTTTACGGTGTGGAAGTTCCAGGTAGGAGCTGAACACAAGCACCGCCCAGTGTATGGTCAAAACCCATACCCACCTCATGGTGTTTCTTTCTTACTGGACTTTTACTAGCATGACAAATTTCTTAACAGAAATGCAAAGTAAAAGTACCGTCCTCACTAAGCAATACCAGCCAACGAAATGTTTTAGCTTCCAGCTAATGCGACCACATCGCAGTGACCAGATCCCAGTAGCAAGTTTTTGATATGAACTGTAATCCAGAATTAGGGTGAGATCATATGAGCCAGCTTATAGTGAACAGTAAGAATAGTAAAACTTATTAATTATTAATAAAGACAAATCCAAAAAAATTGTATGTATAAATATTACAATGAAGCAATGATTAATCATTCTAGATGTAAATAAATCTGCTAATTAATCAGGCTTATGACCTAAAAATTTAATATTTAATTGATCAGTGTGCATAATATTCAATTTCCATTGAGCAGTGGTTGGTACGGAAATCATGGCTGAATTATATTTATACATACTATTTTTTTTGCATTCACTATGAAAACGAATGTATGTTACTGTGATTCTCTTCCTCCTCTGGAGTCCTTTCGAATCATCTCTTTCTGTACTGTGTGTTAACTCTCTTTGTTTACTCCTTCATATTTACTAACTGCTGCTGTAGTCTATATAGCAATATTAGTACAGTTGTAGTGACATTATGCATATCTCTGATTGGTTAAAATGAGATGTGACTGACATCCAAACATTCTATACTTTAACTGAGCTATCCGCTATATAGGATTCTGTAACACCAAGTAATGAAAGCAATGATTTTTATTTGTGTCATCGACTTAGCATAATTTTCCTTGCTTGTTTGTTGCCAATAGTGGGGAGGTCAAGGGGGAACTGTCGAATATTAAATGAGGAGCACCTCCATGTTTGCAGGACATGAAGGAAGAGCTGGAATGGCAGCAGTCATTATCAGACCTGGGAACAACTTTGATGGGAAGAAGCTATTCCATCATGTGCTTGATCACCTACCAAGCTATGGTCGGCCAATTTTCATTAGAATTCAGGTATCTGTAGTTTCTCCTTGTATCTCGTTCTAAATGTCAGGGGTGCAGGAACTGAGGGGACAGGGGTACCCCAAATATTTAATTTGGTATTATTCCCCCCCCTAAGAAATAGACCTTTTCATTTAAATTATTGAGTTGTGCCTCACCCCCTTCTCATTGCCAGAGCTCAGTGTATGTTTTACTGTCTCATGTCTAACTTGCTAATCTCGAGTCTTTTGTGCCAGTAATGTTAATGGTTAGATGGTGTATTTATGAAAACATGGAAATGTACAGTATTTATAGCACAAAAATACTTTGTATACTCTCAAGAAAAATGCATGATTTTCTGTTCAATTCACACTTTCCAAACATTACTAAATATTTGAAGAATTACTGCTGCAGCACTATTGGGTAAGGACATGGGAACAGGTTTGGTGTGGGATGGAAGGAATTTGTGACATGAAAAAACACGATAGCATCCTTGAAAAACAACAAAGTGGCGTATGTAATTATTGTCTTTGAACAGTTTTCTGTGGGTGGACCCTGAAGCGTTCAGTCTGAATTACATTGGGGTTTCAAAGAACCAAGCTTGAAGAGCAAGTTTCTAAAGATAAAATTCCGTTAGTTAAATGTAATTCACAAACTTTCCTTGTATATATTTTTGGACTTTGCAGGAACTGATGGAGCTGACTGGAACCTTCAAGCAACAGAAGTTTAAATTAGTAGATAGTGGCTTCAATCCTTCAGTGATCTCTGACCCACTTTATGTCCTGGACAATGTGGAGAAGAGCTACATCGTACTGACCGATGCAGTTTATAATCGCATTGTGTCTGGGCAACAGAAGCTATAGCAGTATCAAAAATAAACCTTAACACTTTTTTTGGATTTTGCTCCTCAAGAAAGTACTAGCTATTAAGATGGGACACTTTTAATGCTAGGCTTAAGGTCACACAAAATAATATCCAGAACCTAGTGATGGCTAAATGAAGCTTCATGAACCATTTGCTGTACTTTGTGACCCCACTAGATGGTGCTCTCTGTTCAGAAAAAGGACTCAAAGCATGCACCAAGCAAACCAATACTACCATCTAGTGGAATAAAAAAATACAGCAAATGGTTCATGAAGCTTAATTTGGCCATCACTATCAGACTCTGCTCTGAGTAATGAAGTACTAAAGTATAATAATAATGTTGTGCCAACGTGTGTGTGGAGATAACTGAGTGAAGTTTATAGTCGTCATAAGTGAGCCAGAGTCCTAAAGCTCAGAGCTAAAGCTAAAGCTTTGGCTATTTATTCTTATTTTTTACATTACTGATGTCTCAAGTGGTACTTTCTCTGTTCTGTTGTGAAACAGACCCAGAACAGCAGGCATTATGACTTACGGACCAGTGAACTTGTTACAGCCTGTCATTTCCTGCTATTGTCATGTCAGTGATTTCGGCTTTTCACTCTGAGTTTTCACATGTGACTTTTGTGATGAAGTCGTACGGTTTCGGTTGAATAATGTGAAATGATTACTGTATGGTTGCATAGACTCAGAATGGGGTATAATAAGGTTTGAGAACCATTTCATTACTGACCTATTGCAGAAGATCTTACGACTGACTGAATTTTTTCAGACAGTTTCACCTTCTTTTCAAGTAAAATTTATTCTGAACTATTTGCAAGGTTTCATGCTTACACAAAATTATTTATAATACAGAAATAAGCATTATGTAACTGTGTGTGTGTGGAATTTGCATGTCCTCCCTGTATTTTGTGGGATACCATGGTTTTCCCCCAGTCAGTGTAAAGCAGACATGCAGTCAGGTGAACTTGTGCCCCAAAATTGCCTATTGTGTGTGTACCCTGTGATGGACTGGCATCCCATCCAGGATGTACCCCTTCCACATGCCCTGTGCTGCCTGCTGCCTGGGATAGGCTCCAACGCACCCACCACAAACTGAATATTAAGTGGTTATGAGCTAGATGAATGAATGGTTTTTAAACTCTGTTATACCCCAGTCCTGACAGTTGTTATTTCCGGTATGCACTCAGTGGCCAATTTATTAGGTACATTGGCAAACAGCCTGATCCTTCAAAGAGTGAATATAATACATACAGCATGCAGACAGTGTCAGGAAATTCACTTGCTGCTCAGTTAAGCATTAGAGCGGCCGAGGCACCTGATTTAAGTGGTTTTTGAAAGTGTGATTGTTGGTGCCAGACATGGAGGTTCCAGCACCTCTCCAGAAGCAGACTCTCCTGGGATTTTCCCACACCACAGTTTACAGAGGATGGTGTGATGAACAAAGAACATTTAGTCAATGGCATTTCTGAACACACAGCTCATCTGGGATCAAAAATGGGTTGTATCTTCTACTAGCCTGGTGAACATCATAAAGTGGCAACTGACTCTTCATTGCATGTAACAAAAATCTTGAGTTACAAACTGGTCAGAAGTAAATGTTTTTTTTTTTTTTCATTTCAACTGAAATAACACTGTGCATTTGTACCTGTAACTAAGGATGAGATGTGATACTCAAAACTCTTCATCATGTCATAAAACGTCACTAAATCAGTGTTTCCCGATTGGACTTTGGGGACCCACAAAGCTGGAAGGGAGCAAAAATGTGGACTGTCTCGCAAGGGAGCGCAGAAGAAGCAAAAACATGGACTGGCTGTGGTTCTACGAGGACCGGATTGGGAAACACTGTACTAAATGTATGTACTCAGGGTAACCGTGAACACTTACGCGTACTACGTCATGATCTCTCTCATTACCTCATTCTACAAAAATGACAGCAACTGATGGAATAAGCTTTGTATTATTAGACAAACCGTGTTGCATTATACCTTTAATTAGACTTTGAGCTGGTTTGAATTTTTAGGTTTACTACTGTGAAAAGACTGACAGCACAGTGGATCCCCAAAGCCAGAAAATATTAACTTCTGCATTGGAGATATGCAAAACACCGAATTTCCTTTTACAAATAACAATTTTTAAAACATGTTTTTTATAATACTGTCTGAATCTCTATAGCAATTGTGTACATATAGAAAATTCTACTTTTTAAAAGCCATATGAATAACACAGATAGCCTTTGTTAATGTGAACAAGTATTCGACGAATAAAATTTGAATAACTGCACAACAGTGTCTTATCTTTTTCAGTTTATCCTGGGGAAATACCTATCCATAGTTACAGCAGTAACAGTAAATTACATTATACTTTATCAATGATAATAATCAGTATTACAATTGATGAAGTATAATGGTTAGTATAACAATTATAATAATAGCTGTTTTGGTATGTTTGACCTTTATCAGCTTGGTATCAAACCCTGCCCCCCTCCCACACACACACACACACACACTATTGTGTATTATGGTTTTACAATGCATTTCAGTCAGGGGCTGTGATGACAGTTAGGGGCACTAAAAAATTTGAAAATAATTGGATTGGTCTTGGGGAGCCAAAATCTCTATTGGCAGAGTAATATAGTTAAAGCCGAGAGTAAACTTAGATAGTACTGTATATAATTTCTATTTATATCGCATATTAATATGAGTGGACTTCATTAGATTAATGTCAAAGCAGGGGTGTAACGGCGTTCGTGGGGCTCTGACAAATACACTTGACACTTCAGAAGGTGGCGCCAAAGCAGCGTGTCATCTGCCTGCAGAGAGGGTGTGGTGCAGCTCAGGAGAACCTGCAGTGCATATCTGGATTCCTTCATGTGGTGTTTTCTATAAAGAATCTTTTAATTGAGGAATTGAATGGAGTTTATAGGGGAAACATATGGAGACACATCTGGAGAGCTGTAATCTGGGCCGTTCCATACATCCCACTCCATAGACTGTTTCTGGATATAATTTTTACATCGATAATCATAATTAAATCCCCCTGCTGAAAATATAGTGGATCTACTTTTTTTTTAAAAAAAAAAAAAGGTTTTCGTTCCTAGCTCTCTCACACTGGGATTTTTCGAAAAACAGTGCACATTACTCTCGAATATTCACAAAGTTTCAGACATCAACAATTTTAGTAGCCTTTAAACAACTATGCCCAAGTAAAAACAATAAGCTGCAATACAAGCTGTAATACACTGAGCCCGGAGGTTTTTGATTAACAGCCAGTGAGGTACGTACAACTTGTCATGACTGTTCATGAAAATTTTGCCTCAAATATGTATATGTAATTATTCAACAAATAAATAAATATATATATATATATATATATATATATGATGGATATAAAGCATTAAAAAGTTTTAAAAGTAAAAATTTTATACTTTTGCTTTGAGTAGTGCTGAGCGTAAATAATCGCAATGCTGTGTAATAATACCACCTCGTCTATCCAACAAACTATCAGCCGTAATTATCTCATTTGTCTGTGCACTCGTGTTTATCTTTTTATATTCCACCATTGCATTGAGTCCCAGTGACTATGCCGAAGCTTAGTAGGTCAAGGTTGAGGGGGCAGTAACCAGCCGCTCTTCTTCTCCGCCTCCTCCTCCGTCGCTTCCACCCCGTCACACCATCATGGCGGATGTTCAGGGCAACAACAATCATGTCCCTGTGTTATTCTCATACTCCGTCTTCTCCCGGCCGTCGTCCGTCCCCGCCGGCTCCGGGCACGAGCTGCTCATCCAGAAGTTCCTGTCCATCTACGGACATCAGATCGACGTGCACCGCAAGTTCGTCGTCCAACTGTTTTCCGACGAATGGGGGCAGTACGTGGACCTGCCCAAGGGATTTGTGATATCTGAGAAATGCAAACTTCGCCTCATACCTCTGCAAATGGATGTAAGGAAGCGTGCATTTCTCCTAACTTACCTTGTAGGCAACGTAGATCGCTTTCATTTGACATGAAGTATGTGGCATGTTTCAATGGTCCATTCATTTACATGGAAGCCTAACGTGTTGCGGGTGTCTGGTTAAAGCTTATTTCCTTATCACCGGCACCTGCAAGGAAAAAAAACCGCTACGAGTTTACCTGTGGATCAGTAATATGGTGCAATCGTCGTATTAGTTACTTAGCCAACTGTACAGCATCAAACAGACGACTAATTTATAGCTGAAGTTATCTAGTTAAGCACTTGTTTAGGACGGGCAATAGTAAAACACTGAACTATTTCTTGTAATTCGTTACGGTTCGTTAGGCTCTATAGTACCTCATTTCCGCCAACTGCTTGATAAATATGAAACTGCAAGCGCAGAGTGGCTTCCTGCTTGAGCCAGCGCCTTCATTAGGAGCCTGTTTGAATGCGACTTAAGTGTGATACACAGCTTTTCTACATTTTACCGGTTCACTCCGATGACCGTTGCAGATAAAATCACCATTCGGTGGTATGTGGATCGATGCCTGGAAACAACTGGCATATAACCACGTTTTTCTTCTGTATTCGCCTCCGTTGTTAGTTAGTTCCGAACTAATCATAAGTAAGTATTAACACAAACAAATACAGCACTTCAGAAAGTTAAAAAATTAAAAGGTCAAAACGGACCTATCAGGTAGAATTTTTAAGTAGCCTACATAATGTTTAGTATTTGGTATATTTTTGCAAGTTTTTTGAAAGCTGCAATTCCTTCTTAAAATATATGCATAAAAAAGCAGTTTGCTACTGATTTCTTGTATTTCAGTTCTTGCTAAGCCCGATATTTGACTTGGCTGGATATTCTAAGCTACAGAAAACATTAGGAAGACTTTGTTTTGGCTGTATAATTTATGTTCTATTTTAGCCCAAAAGATTATGTTTATAATAGTGGAAGTACATTAAAACAATGAGGCCAGGGAAAGTGTTATTGGCAGTATACCAAAGTGGGGCATTTTATAATCCTGGGAAGCTTACTGATTTCCTGGAAAATCTGAATGAGTACACAATCCAGTAGAAAGCCAAATCGTTAACGGTGTCAGGTTAATTCAATGCATTTTCCCCAGTGCAGCTCTCAGCGCTTCCAGTAACCAGTAATGTATGGGTGGAGACCTTGCAAAATCCTAGTGCTTTTAATGGGCAAGTTTTATGGGGAAAACTGGACGAGTAGCTCCGGAGCCAGTATAGGAAATGTTCATAGAACCATAGCCTCGCAGAATCGCAGTTTAGTGTTGGTTGAACAGACAGTTTACAGAATGCTGCAAACATGACAGGGAATGACTCCTTCTCCTTAAAATGAATCCATTTGGTGCTGAGCCTATAAACCTTAATTTCTCTGTAATCATTGCACATGTCTGTCAGGCAGAGTGATGCATAATGTTGATGGAGAGCCTGGTAGACAGGTTCTGCATAATGTTGATGGAGAGCCTGGTAGACAGGTTCTGCACCCTTTGATGGAGAATAAAGATGTTGGAGGTAAGAATGCGGAGTTGGTGAGCAGCTTGTTATGGGTGACAGCACTGGATGAGGCCAAGCGTTGGATCAAGTTCCAGAGTCATTCCGAAACATTTGTGAGTGCATGCATAGAGAGCCTGTGACTCCATAGGGCTTGGAATATTGAATCTGCTCATGCGGTGCCCTTGTGAACTTGACAGAATTCTGAGTAAGTCCAAACATCTTTATGCAGCAGACATTCCCCTGTCTGCAGATCACCACCCTGGGGAACCTGTCGCCATCCACCACGGTCTTCTTCTGCTGTGACATGCAAGAACGATTCCGGCCAGCAATCAAGTATTTTGGGGACATCATCAGTGTGGGACAGAGACTGGTAAGTATCGTCCCCACCAGGAGGAGGCAGGGTTTGCTTGTGTGTGTGATTGCATGTGCGCATCCTGCAACGAACTGAAAACTAGCGATGGGCAAATGAAGCATCATGAACCATATGCTGTATTTTCTGACCCCACTAGCTGGTGCCCTCTGTTCATAAAAGGACTCAAAGCATGCCCCAAAGCAAACCAAGAGTGCTCCATCTAGTGGAGACAAAAAATATAGCAAATGGTTCATGAAGACTCAAAGGCCTATCCCTACTGAAAACCCATTCTGGGTGTACCTCTGTCGTGTGCCCTGTCCTGCCATGGACAGGTTCTAGGCAGATGGATGGATAAACTGGCCAATGTTATATAACAATCTTCTGGAAAAATCCTAGATCAAATAAATATGTGTTGCATGTAAGCTGATTTTAATAATATCTTTGGTCAACAAAGGAGAAGGTGTTGACATCTGCTCCTAAATGCTTATGACTATTTCTGGATCGCTGATGGGTCCCTGGAATAGCAGTATGGAGATTTTTCATCAGGTTGAGGTGTTTGTAATAGGTAGAGGATCAATGGCACGACCTCAGATTGCTTATGTCAATTATACTCGAGATGTAAGCTCAGCTTAAAGGTTATGACCACAGTGTACAGATCAGCTTGCATTAATATTGCACTGTTGAAACTTGTACTTGTCGTTACTGCAGTTTGATTCTGATGTACTGCTGAGAGCAGCTAGTGTGGCATTTAGATTTTGTGTAAATGTTGCATTTGACAAATGTCATGCCTAACATTTGTCGTCTTGCGACCTCTGCACTCAGCTACAGGGTGCCCGCATTCTGGGCGTCCCGGTGATCGTCTCCGAGCAGTATCCCAAAGGCCTGGGCAGCACAGTGCAGGAGCTGGACCTTACGGGAGCCAAGCTGGTGTTTCCCAAGACCAAATTCTCCATGGTGCTGCCTGAAGTGGAGGCCGCACTGGCTGAGATTCCCGGACTGCGGAGCGTGGTGCTCTTTGGGGTCGAGGTATGGCGAACCCCTACATGATGTAGATATCATCTCTGTTTAGTTCTGCTCTGCTTTATGATTTAAGTCAGTGTTTCTCAAACTGGTCTTCGGGGACCTTCAGACAGTCCATGTTTTTGGTCCCTCCCTACTACTGGTATGGAGCTGGGAGGCAGCAAAAATGTCTATGTCTGGCCAGCAGCTGAGAGGGGGGAGAAAACCTAGACCATCCTGTGGTCCCTGCAGACCCAGCTGAGAAACACTAATTTAAGGTTTATTTGTATTCAGGCATTTGTTAAGTAGTTAATGATAGAAATAATGTTTTGCTAGTATTTTACTTGACTGAAAGTAAAACCCAGAAAAGAATCCAAAGAAATATACAGCCTAATTACTTGTTAGATTTCTGTGAGGATGCTGGACTGTTGCATGTCCTGATTAAAGCTGGCCGTATACTTAAACGATGCCGTCTTTGGCCATAAACGACGTCCAGACAAAATGAAATCGAGCACGTTGACGAGAACAGTCTGTCGGCTTATTTAAAATGGAAGTAGTTTATTCCACCCATCCATTATCGTGCCCGCTTAATACCCACTGGGGTCGTTGGGGGGGCCCGGAGCCTATCCCGGGAAAAACGGGCGCAAGCGGGAACCAACCCTGGGTGGGCGCCAACACACCGCAGGGAGCAAGTAGTTTATTAAGAGTCACTCTTGGTTTAATACTAGCAGTAGCACATGCAGTGAAGCCAACAACTTACATGGCACGCTTACATGCTGATGAAACGTGTGCATTCCATGGCAAACATTACCCAGTTATTTACTATTTATAGAAATACAGGAATACACATTTTAATGTACACTATTTAGAGTATGATGCAGTGCAAAGCATGCCAATTACTGTATAGTCGATTCCATCGATTTCGTCTGAAGGATACAGCCAGCTCTTCCATTTCTTTTTTTCCTTTTTGCTCACCACTACCACCTAGTGGCAATTTACATGACAAGCCTGCATAAAACCATGTTCAATCCGATCGTGGTCATGGCCCATATATATATGACCTTTTTTTTCTGCACAGACCCATGTCTGCATTCAGCAGACAGCCCTGGATTTGATTGGTAGGGGTCTGGAAGTCCACATCATTGCTGACTCTACATCCTCCAGGAGCATGATGGATAGGATGTTTGCACTGGAGGTAAACCCAGCAACTCCTTACACAGGGAAAAACTTTGTAATTCATTCATTAGACAAAACGTTTCTGTCATGTTTTCAGGGTACAGAAAGAGCTAGTCTTTTCCTTGGCAACAATTACTGGAAATTTTAATAAATTTTAAAAACTATGCATGTCTGGAGTAGAAAGTAGTGTTTATAGATTTATAGATAGATTTATAGATATAGAGCAAAAGAAATTTGTTTTAAATGTTTTTTCCCATGTTAATGACGTTTGGAAGGTATCACCAGGCAGGCGTCTTATCTGGACCATGTTAAGTCTGTACCGTCTATACTATATTTACCTTTTAGTTGTCATTGTGTAGATGGACTGTTGCTTTTCAAAATGACAATGTGCCTTTTTAAAAATATAAACTTGCTACATCGTTGCTGTCTCCCACAGCGTCTAGCTCGCACCGGTATCATCATCACCACAAGCGAGTCAGTTCTACTGCAGCTGGTTTCGGATAAAGAGCACCCGAAATTCAAGGAGATCCAGAACATCATTAAGGCCAGTGCCCCGGAGTCTGGCCTGTTGTCCAAAGTCTGAGGTCACGTGGCGTGCCATGTCAGGAGTAATCTAGGGTACTGTAGGGCAACCGTCCGCGAGGAACAGCATTGCATTGCTCCGTCTGCAGGGTGGTTTTATGCTTATTAAAAAAGTTACCTTTAAAAACTAGCATTAATGGTGTTTACTCATATCCTCTCCCTCAACTATAAGGAGATGTTTTATTTTCAAATCAGTTTCAAGTTTGGATTATTTGAAGTATATATTTTTTTCCTTATAAGTCCTCTTTTTCTCCAGCCAACTCTGTATGCCAGTCAGTCCTTATCATGGTGTAAAATCTGGGAGTGATATCATCCTTTTAGACAGATGGATCTCAGTATAAAGGCTCCCATTTAATTCCTCCTTCAGCCTTTGTTCACGTTTACACAGGATAGTTTTCAAGAATGCAAATGCAAATATTCCTTCATACAGCAGTTTTATGTATTGAGGCGATATTTTATATTAAAATGCGCCCATCCGGGAGAATCTTTTCCTTATCAAAATATTTACTTTGCATACAAGATCCACATTTTTTGAGGTAATTTATCTCAGTCATATTAATATTACTTTGGTCCTATTAGTATTTCAGTAATTTGATTTTAATTGGATACTTATGGACCGTATCGTAAGTCCTTATCAGTTGAATGTATTGGATTTTTAATTTTACCATGTTTATTAAAATGTTTCCCCAAACTTACCTTTGGAGGGAGGATAGGTGTAAATTCTCGCGCTCTGGTTGCAGCATCACCCCTATGGACTTCGAATTTGAGAGTGTGAGCCTAACGTCAGTCTATCATGTTGCATTTTTTTTTTTTTGCTGTTGTGAGCACATGCACTGTCCAGAAGTGCAGCTGTGGAGATGCACTACTGACAAATTGATGACCCCCCCCCCCCCCAAGGAGAAAAAAAACACCTGATCTTAAGGGCAAGGAAGAAACTTATGTAATAGGCAGCAGATATGCTGAACATACTGTCCGCCTGGGTGTTTTCACCAGTGTTTTTCTGAGGATACATCCGTGTTGTAAAACCAGCATAATGTTGCGTGTCAGTGTGAGAGCAATGTGTTATTATTTTTTTTTTAAAATGTGCCTATTAACTATCCAAACTGATTGTAAAACAGACGTCGGGGTATGCCTACTGTAAGTGTGCGGCTTTAGACTTGTGCAGGTTTGTAAACACAAAACCAGACTGTTCTTACGTATCTGCTTAAGTAAATAAATGTTCATATGTACTGTTTGTCTTTCCTTTCCCTCTTTATTTGTCAGCGTTTGAAGACGGCAAAGACATTGACCTTGTTGGTCTCTTTGCCTTTGTAGTGAATAACGGTTCCACTAACGAAAAGGATTTTGAAGATCAACGACACTAAAGTAATCGTATGTGTAGTGTGGTATATCATGCACCCCTCTGGTGACATGTCATTGAGTATAGGCTATAAGCCAGGCGTGTACCCTTTGCGTTACGTTTCCATGGGCAATCCGTGAGTTTAAAGGGTAAGTCTGAGCATTCATGTGTTTAAGGTGAAATCTCATCAGACTTAGGTTTTCTGTTTGATGCCATCGCAACGGAACTTGAAGTTCCATAGAATTCAAGTTAAATATTATTCTTGGACATAGCAGCAGTGTGGACGTCAATGTCTAGTCTAAAACTGTCTAGGTACCATGATTTACGTTTTTAACTAAAACATAATGTCTTATTGTTTACGTTGAAATGGAAGAGCGACAAGTACAAGAGCACATTTTTTCCAATTCAGACATTACTGTCTGAATTACTGTTTACCTTCAGTTCAGTTTTTTTTAGCCTGCAGTTTTTATACAATCATTTTCAAGCTGAAACGGTTAAAGATAAGGACCTCTTGAATATACAGCAAGCGCTGTAGATGACTAATCTAAATCAAAATTGTTTTTTTAAAGTTCATATGCAATATTATTTAGAGGTTATTCAACCAGGACTATAAATCACATGCTAAATTGCCTGGCGAATACCACTAAAGATTGTCACAGTGCACGGTAATGAATTGACCATCCGTGATTTTTAAGGGGTCGGGGAGACCGGGTATGGTTGTAACACTCTTTTTGCTTCTGCACCTCTAACTCACTGAATTTTCAAGCTCGAGTTCTCAAACTTTCATACCCAGTACCCACACGTTTACTACAAATGACACCAATTCAAGTCTCTGCAGAAATATCACAATCATTGTGAGCTGATGTCAAATACATGGTGTTCCTTCGTTACAACTTACCCTACCAGGGTAGGTTGTAACAATTGTATAAAAGGAAGAAAAACAGAGGCTACACCGTGTGATATGCTTCGTAAGGAGGTTTACTGAAATAAAATAACAATCCAGAACAATGTCTGTCTCTGTGGCAAACCATAACTCAAATCTAGCTTCTGTCTGACTCAGGAGTGTGTATCTGTGTGTATATTCTTAATTAGAATCACAATGGTGACAAATAAACATTGGTAACCCTGGAGTGCAGTCTTGCTGGCCCAGACACTGCACAGGGCACATTTTATCCACGCTCCCTTTGTCTTTCAGTTGCTACATGGCTCCACACAGACAATACACAAGTTGTCTTCATCTGAGGTCTCAGAGACCTCAGCACTGGCTTTTAACATTTTCTTTGTGGGCTTTCTTTCCTTTTTTATTTTGCTTGTCTTTATTGTTTCGTAAGATACTCTTTGTTACATTTTTGCTTCCTCTTCTCTCTTCTTCCACCAGTGCTTGCTTCACTGGTGTATCGCTGAATATTTCAGACTGCCTCTTCTTCCTGGTCTCCCGCTTGTTTTCTTTGGCCCTGCTTTTGGAAATGGCCATATAGCCAAAGGACTGTACCCCTGACCTGGAGACAACCCTGAGGTGCCTGGCTCATCTGAGGAAGTGTCCTTAGGTGTAAGTAAGGGGATGGTTGTAATACTTTTTAAAGTTGTGTTACAATCCACCCTACCTCTATCAGCCATTGTTTATCATGCTGTATTAAGACAGTGGTTTGATATTCGCAGGGAAAAAAATGCATCACATTTTGCCTGGGAAACTTTCATATAATATGAGTCATAGGATTATATCTGCAATAGTATAAGTACTAAACAAAATAAAGTCTTGGTCAAGAAATGTACTTTCTTACCACAAAATCTGGTTTTTCTCTATACACTCTACAGGCACTTATTTCCAACTTTAATAGCCACCTTGTGCGATCAGGGAGGAAGTGGGTAAACAGTGAAATGATCATATGACTCCTGTCTTATCCGTGATTGGAGGAATCGGGGGCATTACAATTCTGCCCATGTTACAGCCACCCCCGGTCTCCCCTGTATGATAAACTTTGAGTTTTGGCAATACCAACAATGATCATTTACAGTATGACAAAGGCACAATCACACACTATTGATTATCATACTGAACACTGCAAAAGCCACTAAGTGATTTTATAGCTGCAATTGCTGTCGCATGAGAAAAGGCTTGTGCTGAGAGTGCAAAGTGTTTTCTTTAAAATGATTGTTTGATAATCAACTCAGTTTCACTTCACTAATCACTTATTAGTAATCAGCTCCCATACAGAATTTTAACTTCCCATTCATATAACCACTGGTGGGTCATGACACTTATTCTACTGTAAATCCAGGCCTATATTTACTGTATTTGTGCATTTCTGTATTATACCGACCTGTTTTTTTGTTAGATTTGTTGGGATAGTCCACAATATGAGTCCAAGGATAAGCTCTGCTGTTGCACTACTGAACAAGGTGCATAAGCTGTATTTCTCCTATAAAATATTCAACTGCAAAAACTGTAAGTTTTTTTGATAAAACAGCTTTTCTTTCTTCATATCAATATACATATTCCAAATTGGTGAAATGATACGCGAAGGCCTAAGGAGGGCGCTGAACTACCAGTATTTCAGTGGACCAAAGTAAACGCAAACTGTGGTCAGTGAATTGCCGGTAAATCACTCCATACCACATTCTGGCCTCAGCACTTCAATCAGATATAAATATTTTGACTGAACAAAAATAAAGTAGGCCTATTCAACATTAACGTTTTTGTGAGGGTCACCAGTTACGTACAACCCCCTTTCTGAAAAAGTTGGGACAGTGTGCAAAATGTAAATAAAAACCGAATATTGCAAAGAATTTGGGAATTTCATCATCTACAGTACATAATATTAATAAAAGATTCAGAGAATCCAGAGAAATCTCTGTACACAAGGGCCAAGACTGAAAACCAATATTGGATAGCCATAACCTTCGGGTCCTCACGATTCTACAGTGAAAATCACTGCATGGGCTCATTAACACTTCCGACACCATTGTCTGTGAACATAGTTCGTCACTGCATCCACAAATACAGGATGAAACTCCTGCAAAGAAAACCAAATCTAAACATGATCCAGAAACGCCGTATCATATGCTGCCATCCAGACAACGTCTTTTTCAGAGAAGGCCTTGTGTATTTCAGCAAGACAATGCCAAACCGCATTCTGCCCGTATTACAACAGCATGGCTCTGTAGTAGAAGAGTCTGGGTGCTATGTTGGCCTGCCTGCAGTCCAGACCTGTCACCCACTGACAACATTTGGCACATCATGAAATACGACAAAGGAAACCCCAAAGTTGTTGAGCAATTGAAATCTTATACCAGGCAAGAATGGGACAACATTTCACTTCCAAAACTGCAGCTCCTGGTCTCCTCAGTTCCCAAACATCTACAGCATGTTGTTAACAGAAGAGGTGATGCAGCACAGTGGTAAACATGCCCCTGTCCCAACTTTTTTTAAAACATGTAGCTGGCATCAAATTCAAATTGAGCATATATTTGTCATAAAACAATAACATTTCTCAATTTCAACATTTGATATGTTGTCTTTGTTCTATTTTCCATTAAATATGAGTTTATATGATTTGTAAATCATTGCATTCTGTTTTATTTACATTTTACACAGGGTCCCAACTTTTTTGGAAATGGGGTTATAAATGTATGTAATCAGTATCAGTCTATGAATTCAAAACACAGCTCATTATCCTACTGCTTTATTTGGTATAGACCCATATTTTAAGTTCTAACTGTAAAATATTGCAGACAAAAGCATCTTTATCAGAGTAAAAGAATATGAAGTGCATTTTCTCAATTTTAAATATATAGGCCTATTTGTAAAATTAATGATTTGTATATCTTGCCAATACGAGGCAATTTTTAGTTTTTCACTATTTACGTCTTTAGCACAAATGACTATCCTAATACAGTCACATTTCAAACAATGTGACAAATTGCAGTACAGAGCGTTATACAATACAGATTAACTAGAAATATAACTTCAAATTTTGATTTAATTACCCATAGGGGCTATTATTTAACAATTTAAAGCATGTGCCAAAATGATGAACTGTGAAAGACTTCGCCTTTGGAAAAAAATGCTATTTGCATTGAGCAGTGAGTAATATCAACCATCTATAGTTTTAATGGATATTAATTTGTAATGTAACGGGTCGTTCTGTTTAATTTTCTCACAATTCCCCAAGGTCAGACGCGTTAATATAATTTGTAGTGCAGTTGTTTGGGAACCGACTGCTGAGCACCATTGGTCTAGGCTCTCTGGAAGAAGAAAACAGCTGGCAGACGGAGCAGAGAACGAGAAACCCAGAACGAAGATGTACATTGTTACTACTTCATGAATTCAATAGAATTTCGTAATGATTGGCACTGGCAACAGCTGTGAATGGCTTTAAAATGTTTGGATGTTATACACTGTCATTTGAGGCAGCCACATACTGGGCATCATTAGGTCTCTTACACGGAGCCAGCGGCAAACATTTTAAATAGATGATAACTTTTACATTTTATTTCAGTTCTGGAGCAATAATGAGGCGACTTGAACATCACAAACTCCTCAAATCTCCAAATCAAACTCTGATGAGATCTGACTAGACAGTTGTGTCACTCTCAGCTATTTTAAGTCATGAAGTACTTCTTCTTATTGTTTCTCCCGCACTTTTCAGCTTAATATAATTTGGTTGTCGATAATTAAGCCTGTGAGCTAATGTTAGGGGTGGGGTTTGTTCTGTGTGCCAGATCCTAGGTGAGACTCAACTTGGACTTGAGGGCATCCTTCCAAGGCTGCATTCGAAGACTGAATTTGTCCCAACGGTGCGACAGGGCTGTCCCATTTCGAAGGCTCCTTCAAATGCAGCATAGAAATGCATCATTTTTTGCCAAGATCCCAAAATTAATTGCATGAAC